TCCCCCCTCCCCATGTATTGTTTGTTCTTTCACCCTGGAGGGGTGGAACTGATTTATTTGTGTGTTATTTCTTTACTTGTGGCAGGAATTTTACTCTGACTATTTTGCTGTTAGTCCACATGTATTTTCACTAAACCTTCCAAGTTGTTCACGGGTGAGTGTTTCTTGTTTGGAAATATTACATTCACTAGTTTACAAGAATAAATGTGTTGAAAAAATGGAATAGGTAGACCATTTGTCATAAGCTTAGGGTAACAAATAGTCTGATCACTCTGAGTGGATTTGATTCTCCTCCAATGTGAGCTGATTCTCTACCATCTGAACTGCAGAAAACTAATTGTTTACCAAGATAAATGGTTAGTAATACATCATCTGTTTTTTCTTTTTTGTCCAAACTGTAATGTTCATTTCAAACTTTTAAATTATTTACAAAAACATGGTGAACTCGCTGAACCTTGAGCATCTTTTTCTTTATACTTCACAAGTGCACACTATTATGTCAGCCTAGATTACACAGGAATACTACATAAATCTATAATCTTCTGAACACTAGTTGGTGAGGGAGGCAAGTTTCATTTGTCACAATTTTCTTGCAAACTACTGTGATCAGCAGTGTTGTTATGAGTTGAATCCTGACACAAGATTTTACCTATTAACATTGTTATTACAAATTTTTTTCTCTAAGGGTGGATCTTGGGATGGTGAGGCATTAGATCGCTCCTGTCAGGGTATTTTGGCTGTGTTATTGTCATTAAAGAAATGCCCTTTGATAAGATATCAACAGTCCTCTGAGATGGCTCAAAGACTTGCTGAAAATATCAAGGTCAGAACTGTAATGGAATCTTTGTTTGATCTGATCACCATTATTTGATCAAAATAATAAATGTATCCTTCACAAATGTCTTACTGCAATTAAGGGAGATGCAGGTTGTTATACTATTTAATAATAAACCTTTTCTTAATAAGTAGAAGGTTGCAGGAATCTTTCTTTGCTGCTTTCTTGTAGATAGCATAAATTTATACTGTAGCAATCTCATATGGATTTTTTCTCTGGCCTAAGTATATTTTATACAGTTGGACTCCTGATTTCAATGTTAGGCGTCAGATGTACATGGAGCTCACCAGACCCTTTCGTTTATAATTGACTTTTTATGTTTAGCACAAGATAAATGAGGAGGCTTCACTGTTTGACTTCAGAAGAACCGATGTTCCTCCCGTGCTGTTGATTTTAGACAGACGAGATGATCCAGTAACACCTCTGCTAAACCAAGTGGGTACTTACACTGTTATCTACAGATAAGTTAACATACCTTGAGTAATTAAGGGACGTGCGTTGTAGAATAAACTACGTAATAGGTATATTCCGAGCGTTTGTACTCGCTGTTGTCGTCGCCAAGGGTAGTCAACAGATTGCTAAGAATTTTAGACAACTTGCTCGATGAAAATACCTTTTCATACCATCTTTGCCGAGAGAATTTACTCGAACCATTCCTCCCTGCCTCTTAATTCCCCGCGATTTTTCCGTTTAGCTGTGTGTTTGTTTGGTTAAAACTCAGGGTGACTGTCAGGTGAGAATCTACGTTATACAAGTTTTCGTTTATTTATGTTCCATTTAGTGGACTTACCAGGCAATGGTACATGAACTGATTGGTTTGAGAAATAACAGAGTGGATCTGTCCAGGTGCCCTGGCATCACAAAAGAACTTCAGGTATCAAAATTTGCGTTTCTGCCCTTAGGATGAAAGTTCATTGATATTATGCTGATCTTACTCTTCATTCGATGACGCACTTTAGACTTAGGCTTTAGGGGGTTCACAACTACCGAAGTTTATCTCGATTTCCTCAGCAGGAATTAAAAAAGAACAGGGACGGGTTTCTACTTGTTGATCATCGCAGTTTACGCCCATAATTTGCTGGTATGTTTTCATACCCCGGCCACTGAGTTGATAAAGGCATGGGGAGAATTAAGAGTCTAAACAACGAGCAATGAACAATTCCGGTTGCGCTCGAATCAGGCCCTTTAGATGTGTTTAGAAAATTAAAGATGAGTAATTTGAATAAGAATAAGAGAGAAAGATTTGCTTTTCGTGTTGTTAAGAGCGTGCGACAGAATCGAACCTCAGACCTTCGGATTCCGCGCTCAGATTCTCAACCATGAGCGTCATCATTACGATGATCATGTATGACACGCATCCCGCGTCCTGAGTGGAAGGTAGGTAAACTGCCGTAGTAAATTTTGAAAAGCCTACGATGTGCGCAACGTCCCTTTGTCCACACGAAACGCTCGAAACGTCAAAAAAATTAAAACCGAAAAAAGTTTAAAAATTCGTTGTCTGCACCTTTTTCGTGATGTAGTGTTTAGCGTGCACCGCTTCGTGTTGTTTTCTGCGCCCCCAGCACTTTTCAGTTTGACCAGCTTTAGGTGGAATAATTTTAATGATGTTCTTCATGATTGTTTTGTAACAGGAAGTCGTCTTATCAGCCGAACACGACGAGTTTTATCAACGGGTAAGCTTTTAATTCCAGAATACCAAGCAGCACATTGTTGTTTCCAAAAGAAAAACAAAAAAAAAATCCGTTCATTAACATACAATTTTTTTTATTTTCTTATTTTTTTTATCAGAACATGTATCTCAATTTTGGAGAAATTGGCCAAAACATCAAAACACTGATGACAGAGTTTCAGCAGAACGTGAAGAGTAACCAGCGTCTAGAGTCCATTTCCGATATGAAGGTAAGTCTTAGTGTATATCTCTAAGAACTAACTCGAATGTGGAAGTACATCAATGTGATAAAGCCACAAGAACTTTGGTCAAACAGCTTTAAACTGTCATCGCCCAAATAGTCATCTGCGGACAACGTTTTTTGAAGTAACTCTGTGCTTTCCCTATTTACACCGACAAAAACATGTTTTGGCAGTTTTGCGGAAAGAATATGAAAAATTTTTCTGGCGGCACGAGACGTGTGAAGGAATAACTTCTTGAGTACAAAATTTGCAAGTGTAGATGACTTGACAGCGACACTTGTTACGGCAATTGTGAACGGTGAAAGGACAATTCTACTTTGGCCAGTATTTTCCTTGACAACATGGACAAGCAAGACAACATCAGCTCATTTTCTCGTGTGACTGACAAGCCATCCTTGCTGAGGCATAAATGTATATCATTTGTCAAGAAAAACTTGCTAAATAAATGTAGCTGTAGTATTTCATGATTCTTCCTTGCGATTAGATGTACTCGGTGTTTTGCAAAAGTCAACTGTTTGGCTTTGTATGTGTTTTTTTTTTCCAATAGGCTTTTGTTGAGAATTATCCTCAGTTTAAGAAGATGTCGGGAACAGTGTCTAAACATGTTACTATTGTTGGTGAGTTGTCTCGTCTGGTTCAAGACAAGTCACTTTTGGATGTCTCCGAAGTGGAACAAGATCTCGCCTGTCAGAACGACCATTCATCTGCCTTACAGGTACAGAACCTTGCTAAATTAGAGGAAGTCGCCAAGTTTTTCTGAAATTTGCAGGACATTTCTTCTTATTTCGTATCAAACTGATTTTGTTGAAATACTGGCGAATTACAAGTGCATATACCGTTAAGTCAATCAAACCTCGAAATACTAAGATAGACGTTTTGTAGCGAAGTGAAACGGAGTTGTTTGATAAAGATTGATAATTCCGTAATTTTCGAAAAGCTTTTTTTTATTTCAAATATGAACTCATTGAAGTCATTTTGGTGATGTATGATGTTTGAGAAATAACCTTTTATGAACGTAACCACAGTAAGGAAAGTCATCAGAAGGAAAAGCGATGCTAAACCTTTAACCCAATGTTAACCCGTAGTCAGTGTTAAGCCTTTGACTTCTAAGAGTGACCAGCATGTAATTTCTCCATACAATATCACCCCTAAATTTCACATCAAGATCACGAGAAAAGGGGAAATAATCATCAAATAGAGAAGCTGTAAATTGTTAAAATGTGAAGAGAACAGTTTGGAGAATATGCATACTGATGGTTGGATACAAAGGTTTAATAGTTTGGTTTGAGTGATTTATTTGAGAAATAAAATAGTATCGTTCTAAAAATCTTTCTTGATTAAAAAAAAAGTGTGGAAAAGTGTATGTTTTTATAGTTGGATTTTCAGTTCATCGTACTATAAATTTCTACAGAATGTCCGTCGGCAACTCGCCAATGAGAATGTGTCTGAGCTGGACATGGTTAGGATGGTGTCCCTGTACGCGCTTCGTTACGAAAAACATAGCAGCAATGACGTGGGTGGCCTGTTGAACATGTTGTCAAGAAGAGGGGTCAGCGAACCTCTTAAGAAGGTGCGTATCATTAGAGCTGTATGGTTTCCTAGCAACTACAGTAGAAGTTTCCGGATCTCCTAGGCTTACATTTTTGCGTAACCTAATTGAACTGTCCAATCAAATGCGATCGTGATGTTCTTTGAATTAGGAAGTGCTCGCGGTTCTTGCCACCATGTGTGTTCACCTGTTTCCGTCTTCTGTTTGTAAGAGCATGTATTTTCTCCAGTTGTTTTTAGAGCGCAACTGCAGTAAGTTTGGTGTTGTATGGTATTCAATTTGTCGAAAATCGAAACCTAAATTGTACATCCTTAAACCCACAAAAAAAGGGCTCTGTTTCTGCAGGGCCGTATTCAAACCGTTCTGGTGGACTCCTTTGATTAAGAATTTAAGTGAAAATTTTTCTGGTTGCGCGCAACAAAATTTTAGGCGAACACCAAATTTAGTAGAACATCAGATCGTTTTCTAGCCAATGCTTTCGTGGTACCATATTATATGCAAAATATGTTTCCTCGCTTTCGTTCTCATTAACGCCCCTCATCTCCACCCAGAAAAAAAGACTGCATTCCCCTTGTCGAAAGAGCTGGTAAATGGATAAAGTAGTTTAAGCTCTAAAACAACTTCAAAATGTAAAGCATCCGTTAGAATCGTGTGTACTCAGCTTTTTTATGTATACCTTTATTGATGGCTCTCTCCCATATGTCTTTTTACAATGTGACTACCCTTTTCGTGTAATACATGTAACGCCTTTTAAATATGCTTTACCTTATAAAAGGGTCGTTCTATGTTATTCATTTCAACTCTTAAAGCTATGTAAATTATTTTAAATACAACCAGTAATTTATAAAGTTCGTCTACCGCGTGTTGACATGGTATTTTATCTGATATTTATGCGAGACACATACCACTCAGGCTTGAAAACAAACGGGTAAATTTCTAAGGTAAATTGACTTCTTTTTTTCTTCGAAGCAATCGACAGAGTAAGAAAATGCGCCCACTCTTGTGTTTCTTCTGTTTTGTTTTGTATTTGTATATATATATACATACTGAAACCTTCCATTTCAAAAAGAATCTATCAAATTATGCCGAATAACTTGCGTAAGAATCCTTTCATAGTTTGTGATATGAAATTACACCTATACTTCCTAGTAGTCTATAACGAAAGACTGACAACATTATCCAAGTTTTTTGGTTTTTGTTTTGTTTTTTTTTCTTTGTCAAACCGCTTTTCATGATCTTGTTTGATTGTCTTTGTCGTCAACCATTTCTTTACCATCATAGCTCATTAATACCCAGACGATTTACTTATGTGTGATATACATTTTATTATTTTTTTTCTTGCTCGAAACTTGACTCCTGCACTCACCACAAATTTCCCCATTCAATCACTCCCTACTACTATAAACTGAACTTACTGCACGCGCTCTCGATGAAAAGCTGTTCAGTCTCGCTGTATCCGAGCGCCTTAGTCCAGTCACGAAAGATTTTAAAGCGTCGCGAAAGTCCTGCTTCATGAAAGTACAGAGGAGCGGATTGCACAACGCTGTCAAGAAGCGAAGGAAAACGATAGTGGCGACTATTGCGGAAGCTGCCTTTGGCGACATACTATGCTGCCCTATGGCGTGCAGATCATTCATAATTGCCCACATAAAATAGAAAAATAGTCCAACGATGAACACCGCCATCATGGCGATAAAGATCGTTGCGATTTTCTTCTCGTTTACTTGTCGTCTGCCTTTGTTGACCTGAGATCCCGAGCCCTTGGTAAGTTCGCTGTGGATCTCGTTGCTTTGCCTTCGAAGGAAAGTGAAAAGTTTGGTATAAATGGCGCTCGTCACAAGTAAGGGAACCACGACTAGGGCAGCCATGTGAAAGAAGTCGTATCCGAGGTCAAAACGATTCACTGTGTCCTCAGCCATCGTGGGGTGCAGAATCCAGCTAAGCTGTATCATTGAGGCCAGCAGCGCGAACATCCAGACAGAAGCCAGAGCACAACGAAGTCTCTCTTCTGTTACGATGGACGGGTACTGCAGAAGCTTGGTTACTCTTATATAACGGTCGATAGATAAGAAAGTAAGGTGGCCCACGGACGAGAAAGCCAGAAAGCGGTTGGAGATATCCATAGGGAGACATACTTCGAAACGCTTAACGGCTGAGCAGACAATAACCATTGGCACCGCTATCAAACCTGTTAGAAGGTCACTTACTGCGAGACTTGTAAGAATCATGTTGGATGTGGTGCGCAGTCGCCGTTTGCGCCAGATGAGCAGCAGGATTAGGCTGTTTGCGAGGATGATGAAAAACGAGAGCAAGCCGTAGTTAATGAACGGCACTGTCGGGTCGCTATTGAACGGGTCTTCCTTCCCATTGTTGTCAGTTGAGTTGCTGTCATTGATGTGGTTCATGTCGTTGTCTTTCTTCTCTTCGCTTAAAAAGCTTTCTTCGCCTCAGCACAGATGCTTTCTTCCGTAGATTTCTTTCCAGATTTGTTTGAATTTTTCCTCTTTCCCCGACGAATCTTGATTGGTATAGTTCTAGATATACACTCTCTCTACTTCCTCAACCTGGCTAGTAAAGTCGTTATACTTTCGTCTTCCTTCGGTTTGCAAGTTGTCGCCTTCTGACCTCAATTGTAACACATTTAATTCGCTCCACTGAAAGAAAAAGATGTTATTAGAAAACTGATTATATAGAGCTAGGCAAACTTTTGAATTAAAAAAAGAAATGCGGTATTGAAATGGAAAATTTATGAAGAAGTTGACGGCTAACTAAGGTACTTATTAATTTTCAGTTAATTCCAACCGCCCGACAAGAATACGGAAGGGTACTCACACAAATAGATTATTGAAAATTGAGAGAAAAAAAATGAGATATCTTTTAAATGAAAGAGTGCTCAGATCATCAGTATTAGTAGGACTCCTTCTCGGGACACTTGGTTAATATAATCTTTTGATCTTGTTATGAAAAACCTACCAAAATGAACAGTTTTTTGAAAAGCAGCAAGCTCGTGGACGTAAATCGTCTTTTCCACTTCCAAAACGAGTATTGAATCTAATTACGCAATGTGATGTGGTGTTTCCCCACAAGCTTGCCTGCCGCCGATAGAATATCCAAAAGTTTTTGTTGTAATTTATAAAGGACAAACTCCCAAATATAGTAATTTGCAAATTGAGGATTACCGGAAATTACCAGAAGGGTTGTTACCTTCATGCAAATTGCGTAATTCGCCCTCTTTTTAAAATGCGTAAGCTTCGGTTAAATTAATTTCACGAATCCGCTCTTTAAAATTCTAGTATACTTTAAGAGTCGATTTACAAACTACTATGAAAAATTTCGACTCCCAATATTCCAATGCAATTTCCAAATTAATATGTAATGCGCTAACTCTGTGTATAAAATAGATGTCGTGAGTTAAAACCTTTTTTTTTACAATGTAAGCAGATATTTGCGTCCTGTAAGCTTTCAATGAAATGGGATGTTATTTGCTTTAGAGGGAAATAGGAAATTAATTACAAATGGTTAAAGTATAATTGTGACACTCTGACAGGCGTAACACATGGAAATAAATTTCTCTCGATTTTCCCACCTGAAATTGTTCTTCCTATTAAGGAAACGCTAGCTGGCTTTTACCGTCGTTTGTGTTGATCTGTTTCAGTCGTTTTGTCTGTGTAAACAGATGGCGATGTTTTTCGGAGGGCTGTTTCTTCTCCGCAACAAAGAAAGTACAATTTCTTTGTAGAAGCAAAGGAATAGAATGAAGCTTAGAGTGAAACCAACACATTTTTTGCTGAACCAAAGGAAGCTAAGCGACTGTGACATAAACCAATTCAATTTTCCTTAGCAAAAACATGAATTGGGCTTAATTGTGTGGGAGTGATATTGTTTTCATGTTAATTATGGACCATTTTTGTAGTGGCACGTCAAATCGCAAATGGATTGTTATCGCAACATTAGCATCACTCCCTGCTGTATTTATTTTTCGGTCCTCGATGTGTGTGTGATTTGAACCCAAGAAAGACAAACTCTGAGACATAAAATTCGCATTATCAATTTTACAGGAATCTTTCAAAAAGCCCTGAGAGATAAACAAAAGAAAAAGAGCTTTCAGAAAACGATGTGAAATTGCGGTTTAGAACTGATAGTGTTAATGTTATAAAATCGCCGGAACTTGGATCTATATTGTCAGTCATGCCCCAATATAGTGATTCAAGCGTGTAACACTCGTACTTATAACCGTCTATATACTGTTCTTTCGACAGACTCAAATAAACAATTTAGGAGACAAGTCCGGATCACCACTTCTAAAAAAGAGACCAACGAAGTCCAAATCAAATAAAGTGTTTGTAGTCCTTATAGATCAGCAAAACGGGAGAGTCATTTAAAGACCATTTACCTTGCCTTGAAAAGCGTTTCATATTGTCTTTGTATAATCAGGGCGTCTCCTAAATGATTCTTGGTAACAGCAGTCCACAACTCACTATACTTTCTGTATATCAAGATCAATATTCATAAAAATGCTTTTCGCAAAATGTGTTCTATAAACAACGTATTACTTAAGGATTTTCGTTAAAAAAAGAGTCACGAATAATGCACCTTTCATATAATTGCGCGCATTTAGAAAGTTCCGAAAAACAATTATCACGATAGTGTCCTAATATCGACATTTTACTTTTTTGATAATGAACTGGGTTATGAATGTTCAATACATAAAAAATGGGAATGGAAAATAGACAGCAATGCAAATTATAAGCTCTGAAAAAGTGCGGCACAAACGATAAACAAACAAATAGACTAAAACGATTATGTTTTAGCAAACATTTTTTGTCTTGTATGCTCAGACGGTGACGGCTCTAATCCAGTATGGCGGCAGGAGTGTCAGGGGTAGTGATCTCTTTGGGCAAAATAAAACCCCGTTGTCTTTGACGAGGAGATTCTTCAAGGGATTAAAGGTAGCGTCTTTAGTGTTTTTGATTACGATGGAGGGACATGACTTTGAAATACAAACCTGGGCGGTTTGTTAAACTAATGCTTTGTATTTTATGAGAAGGTTACGACGAAAGATCAAAGAAACGGACATTGTTGATTAGATTTTTGACGTGGCTCCCCGACAATAGCTTTTCAATTATGATTAGCGAGAAGGAAAAAATAGGGAAAATAAAATAAAAATAGATTTTCGTTTGGAGACAAGTGCGTGCAGTGTTGAATTTTCGTTACTCGGCCCAGGAGATGAGGACTTTATGAGGGGTATTTCCCGTTTCATGGGAAACAACACAGTCTCTTCAACAGTACTCACTGAACTAAATAAATTACGTCGAAATAGTGATTTGCGGCAGCTATTAAAACTCGCCTTTGAGCCTCGCAAACAAATGATCTTTTGTTCTAGGATTCCTTCTGTAGTCCCCTCAGTGTTTGATGTAGTGAGGTTTTTTTCATGATTATTTTGATTAGTTCCCCCTGATTGCAAGAGAAACCGGTAATCCTGTTGTATTTTCAGGGAGTCGAAAACATCTACACACAGCATACTCCTTTGATCTCTGAAACACTGGACAGCTTAGCGAAAGGAAAGTTAAAGGACACGCAGTTCCCATACATTGGTTCGTCAGTGCTGCGAGACAGGTAGGAACCACTTACAGTTCTTTACCAAATTTTTACAGACTCTCATCTAGAAAAGCCTTGAAGTTCAAAATATTAACCCCCAAAAAAGTCAGAGTTCGTGTACAAGTACAATTGCAAGTCAGTGCAAAGCTTTTAGTCCGAGAACTGATTTTCTGAAAATTTGCTGATTGAGATTTTTATTTGTGAGGATTTAGGCATATGCAATACATTCAATCACACTTACGTGTAATGTCTAGAACCTCTTTTTGTTTGGTAAGTCACCAAGGTTTTTATAACCCTTGAATTGACAAAACACTAGTTTACAACGAAACAATAACAAAACACCGAGTCCTAGGTTTTCTCTGTTTAAAGCGTTCGTTTCAACGTTGAGCCCTTTTCTCTAGACAGTATCGTTGCTGAATCAATCAGTACAGTATGAGAATAAAAGGACTCATCGCCAACGGAAGAAGCTTTTAATTGTTAAACAAATTCTCCTTTCCAGTGCCATAGAAAGGTTGGAATAGCATCCGATCACGAAATCTCAATTGTACAGGATTTTATCTCTTGGGAAAAACCTCCAGGGTTTCTTTGTCGCCCGCGAGTACTCTAACTAAGATTTAAATTCTTTATATCTTATCCAACCGAGCTAGGAATCTGCAATCTTTTTCACTGAGTAGAATTTTGATTTACTACTATCTATTTTAAAGGCCCCAAGAAATTATCTTGTTTATGGTTGGTGGAGCAACTTACGAGGAGGCTTATGCTGTTTATAACTTAAACAAGACATTGCCTGGAGTGAAAATTGTTCTTGGAGGAACCACAATTCATAACTGCAAAAGGTACCCTTAACCTCTCTTTCTATCCCAATCTTTTAAAATAACAGCGATAAATGGCGCTGTTTAAGTTAATACTATATTTCTTCAGCTGTGATTGCAATGAACTTGTACTCGAGGGCTTTGCTCGTAAATTCGTTTAGGACAATGAGGGCAAGAATTAAAGTGGCACTTGGTTCTGTTTAACGTTTACCTGCGACGAGAATCGCAGATTTAAGTACAAGCCATAAATTATCTCTGCAAAATTCAGTCTTTTTAATCGATGTTATTAGTTATTATTATTATCATCATCATTTTCATAACTATTATGATTAATAGTTCCAAATGCCTTAAAATTAATATTAAAATAAATACTCATATAATAACCATGAAATAGCTAAAAGATGTTATCCTATCTGAAATAATACGATAACGCTGTATTCCACCTTTGCGTTCAAAATATAGCCTTTTATCTTCGTATAATTTAAGTGTCAAGTCTGGTTGGCTTAAACTGGGCTCTGTGACTGTGAACAACGAAGACGACAGAGTCAGACTTTGACGTGTTTTATAACCTTTGTCCCTTTCCGAGAGCGAAAATTAATACATGCGAAGTCGGAACAGCTGTGTAAACATTCGCTAACTTCGATTTATATACAGTATTCCACACCTCTCAGTAAATACTTTTTTAACTTTGCGAGTGAATATGAGCCTTCTTTGATTTTATATACGGTGTGTTCGATTTGAGACTTACTTAAACCCCGTTTATTTTCTTTCTTCACGAACTCAAAGATCATAATTACCTTTCAAGCTTTCTGTCATCTCGATTGGGAACACTAAGATACACAACTTTCAACGGCGTTTGATCGACATCACTATAGTCGTACGAAAATGAATACGTCTTTGATTCTGCTAAGGTTGAAGTGGGAGACTTAATAACACTTTAACTCATTGTATTTTGACCAATGGATAAAAGGCGCCGTTCCTAACTAATGTAAATTTGCAGATCAGAACACTTCAAGCATCCAAGAGACTCTTCTCAGCTTTGTTCTCTATGTTAATTTTATGATCATTGAAATCACGATGTAGAAGCAAGGTTTAGACCATATTTTTTCCTTCGTTGTCTTTATTGTTATTTTTGTTACTATTATATCATTATTATTATTATTATTATTATTATTAGTTTTATTTTCCCCTGTTATGGCATTTGTCCAGAATCCATGTTGAATCAGTTGTTTGAGATTTACCTGGCCCTCTGCATGCAGAAGTAGTAACCCGTGGAAAAATTATCATTGTAACCCGAAAAAGGCCTTGAGTTGTTGTTGATGTTTTTCTTTTTTTATCCAACCTTGAGTGTATTGGTTTTCCAGGAAGAATATGAGCAGCCTACCCTTTAATTATGCCCCGTAATTTGACGTAGAAATCTTAGCTTAATATTGGCGTTGCAAAGTGAAACGAAAACAAGAACTCTCATTAAATATGCAACATTTAGATAGTGATGTAAAAGCGTTAATGATACTTAGCAAAAAATTGTTCTTTGTGTGCTTGCACAAGCCTTTTACCGAAACGCAAAACTAGATGATCGTAGAAATGAACCATTTTTTAATTTTGTGGGAAACTGCGCCAGATTTGGGAGTTGGCTGAATCCTGGAGATAAAGTAAGTCAATTCTGTGCATGGCGCCGTTGAACGTTTTACAAAGTTTCCACGTTCTCTTGTCTAGCGAATTTCTTGAAAATAGTAAATGTACGAACGAAAGAATAGCTAAAAGTTACTCCCTTAGAATTATGGTAAACGATTCATGTTGCGCATCCAGAGTGCGAAGCAAAATTGCCCGTATCTTATTGACAAAAGTTAAAGATTCTTACCTCGAGAACGTGAGAGCTGTGCCTAAAATTTCCTCGTCTCACTCAGTATTGACGACATCTGTGATTGATAAAAAACAAAGGCAGGTTGTTAATATCTCCTCTCGTGACGTACTCACAGCACACATCAAACTGATCTCGTTTGTGCATGTCTCGCACCATTCCGGAAAAATTATGACACAACTGTCATTTCTTGTGGATTCTAAATTGTTTCTAAATCAACAGAATATGTAATATCTCTCCAGGATCTTCCGCTCAGTGGTTTTCGTAACAATTTCAAAGAGCGCAAATATCGCGAAAACGATATTGAAAGGAAAAGTTTACGGGTCACGTATTTCAGGAGCCAGATCCCGCCACACACTGTTTCATAAATTCAGGAATCGTGCTCACCTTTCCGTAAAATTCACTTATCACATCTTGATTTTGGCCTCGATCACGCATCACGTATAAGGCCTTTGTCACCCTCTTTATTGTGAGGATATTCTTTCTTTCTCGATGAAAGATTCGTTCGAAGTTTTAAAACATGCGGGTCGCCCATAGCATAAAATTTGCTGTTAGTTTTGATAATTTTTTCTTGGTCAAGCATTTCAGGTTTCTATTTAGAATTATAATGAAATTGTATCCATTTGTGACAGTCGCACCCACTCTTGTCCTCAAGGAAACAATATATTCGTTTTGCTGCGCTAGTAACTCTAGTACCTTGAAGGAAAAGATAACGTTAGATTGATTTACACTTTTATTTGCACCTTCCTCTAAGGAGTTTTTAAACTTAACCACGTAAATTGGATCATTTCCAATACACTATAATATCCGTGCGAATTTTAGGATGCTATTTTTGGATTACAAACCAAAGTCACGGCAATAGTTGTCAGCTTTCATGTTCACGAAGAAAGAGACGGAAAATTTTATGATCACTTTGCTTCCTCTCTCACGTAACCAAATCCACAATAATTAGGAAGAAGAATAGGCAAAGAAACGAAAGAAGAATGAAAAAGTTTTTGAGAAGCTTTTTTGAATATTTTTCTTTTCTGTCGTAAATTGGGGCTTGTTCGTTCTACAAAATATTGGGCGGAGTCAAAAGTAGAGGGTTTAATTTAAATTGTTCAAATGATGATTGAAAGGAATATTGGGTAAAAGGATAAAAAGATCAATTTATAATTATTCGTACATGTTTAGAGGCCGGATTGTTTGAATTTGCCTGTAATTGTAAATTAGGTCGCCAAGTTTTAAGAGACAAAAGTAAATATCCACCACTATTCATTTTCACTATGGTGAACAGTTGTTAACCATTCCAAACGAAGGAATAATTTAACCACAAATCGTTCAGCGTTCTTCTGCATGTAGTGACGTAACTTCAAATAAGCAACCACACCGGATAGCCTTAAATGTGGCATTTTTCGACAACTAATTTACCACTATCGTTTCAATGGCAAATTATTGCTTTCGTTTTAGTTATACTGGCACTTCCGCATTTGGTGATCTATCTTTTCTCATTTTCCTGAAAACGTCACCTAAATTTCTGTCTTTTGAGTTTCAAATTTATTAGTTATTCTCTTCTAGTGGAAACAGAGCTATTATGTCATGATTGATACGTCTAACATTTAATATTCACTTTTGTTTTTTTCGCAGTTTTCTTGAAGAAGTAAGTCATTCCACTGGCCAAGGCGCTGCTACTAGAGCCCGGGCTTCCTCTGGTGGAGCACATTACAGATCTTCATATTCGTCCTCGTTTTTCTGAAGTGATCCGACAACACTTGAATTCTTGTAAGATGGCATTTTATTCTAGCGTATAAATCGCAACAGCCGATCAGAAAATAAACAATATTACAAAAAGCTAATAAGAAATCTAAATAAAATCAAGCTTGCTGACTGAATCGCGAAAATGTAGCTGCCTGATTAGCGATTGATCTTATTTGAGTTACTAATTTTTTGTTAAAAGATTGGCGCGAGTCTTCCAGACCAATCATTGAGAGAAGAATGAGAAACCAAAACAATTCCGGATTCTTTTGACATTACAACCGAAAAGTACGATAAAACTATCGTAGGATCCCCTCTCGTAAAACAACAAAATTATTAATGTAGTTAAATCAACTTTTTTAAGCCATTATCAACAAAAATTATATTTAAAGGACTTCCTGTCATTCATAGGCGAAAGAAGGAGAGTTACTTATACTGTTAAACTGTTAATGTTGCGTAAAAGTTAGTGTCTAAGTAGATTGAACCAATCGCTAAGAAGCGTCACGTGTTTGAGTTAGAAGCTTTAGTCGAGCTGCTCCAATTCTCAAAAGGACATTTTAATCTATGCTTTACCATCAGAATGTAATGTTTGGTTACTTTATCCCCAACAGTGTATCTGTTTTTTGGTAATTTTTCGCTTAAAACGTTCTTCACTTTATGTTTCAAATCCGAACGGTTTCAGCTGAAAATCATTTTTTTAAAAAATCAAAAGGCTTGTCTTACGTCCAACCTTTATGTAGCTATTATATGAAATTACAAAATACTACAGATGCCAGAAGTTGTATCGTTTCATTTAATTTGTTGAAAGAGGAACTAGGCATTTCAAGTGGCTTCATTGTACAATTAAAGGGTAGAGTTATCGGGAAACTCGTCTGATGACTTACTAAGTTTAGAGATTTGTTTTCAGTGATCGGCACCTGTAGCAGTCAGAATGAAAGGGCCGTGGAAGATATTGATTAAAAAAGGAATTTCTATTCTTATGTAGAATTTTGCGAAAGCCTGAATATGTTTACCGTCTTTTACGACGCCACACCTCAACTTCAGCTTAACCCTTTAACTCCCAGATCAAGTTTGTAATTCTCCTTACTGTCAACCATATAATTGTTTTTATGTTAGTTCAGAGAATTTAGTATTGGATCAATTAATTATCCCCAAATTGGTATTTTTCTTTGTTCTCATCACTTATTTTGTTGATATTGTATTGATGTTGTAAGGAGAAATTCTGTCTTCGTCACTCATGAGAGTTAAAGGGTTAACGTATTTTGAACACCGTTGAGTTCCAAATGGAAACTTGAACAATTTTCTATGAGGGTTTTGTCCTCGAACCACGCAATTTTTGGTAATTTAGTGTCGTTGTCTTGCATAATATGGTGGAGAAAGTTACAAAATTTTTAAAACGCACGAACCGAGCTATTTTCCTGCTCATTAGATCCTTTTTTTTTTGTCACGTTCTCGTTTTCGTCGCCGTTATGGTTTGCTTAGGGTCGCTACGTCGCCAAGGAATACATTTTGACATTACTTTTGCCTACAATCTGCCGAAAAACGCGTGTTTATGGTCAATGGGGTCATCGTGATTCTTTCTTCCCTTTGTGATTTAATACTTAAATAAAAAAAAATTTAAAAAAACCCATCAATATCAGAAGCAGAAACCTCAAGATTGTTAGAGAGTTTTCAAGTGATAAATACAATTTTCGGAAACGGATGTCTTCATTTGGCTTATCTCTTCTCCGATTGGTCACTCTGTGGCAAATCTGTGGCTAAAAATGGCCGCTAGTCCGGAGGGCAGTTAGCTTTTTCCTGCTTTAACGCAAATGCATATGCTTCATTTTAAGTAGCCGAGGGCACAATGGGTTTGAGTTAGACTACCAGCCTAGTTTGCCCTTCGATTTTAGAAAGGGCAGCCATCAAGCAGATTTTCAAATGTTCAGCGCCTCCGATAGAGACAGTAACAACATGTCGTACAAAGGGCTGATAATGAAATTAAAGAGAAACTTGACCATTAGATGATATCTCCCCACGTACTGAAAAAAAAGTATTTGGAGACTTACGCTTGGTGTCGGTTTCGGAGACGGATTCTCATCTCGTGGTGTCAGTGAGATATATACTTATATGTTTGATTAATCATTGGCTGATATCATTTCCACTGTGACGCTGCTCAGAAGCCGTCTGATGCAGATAAAAGATTCTCTCTAAATGCATTTTACGGTACAAGTTTAGTATTTCAAATTTAAACAAAAGATATCGAAGGCTGTTCGCACAAGTAACTAGAAATCATTCTCCCCTCAGCTATCGTTCTAAAAATGAAACTTTCTTTTTTTCTCAAGTGAAAAATCGTATTTGATTCTAAGTTATACTTTTTATTCTGAATTATCAGCCCATCTGCTATCATTGCACTTCCTGCTCTTTTTAAATCTGATTCATCTGGCTATACTTCCCTGTTTCGCTTCACCTGGTCACGTACAGCATTGTCGAAATTGACCCCAAACGAGAAAGCAACTTGGTTGAAATACAGAGTCTAGCTATTTGAGAAGCACAGTGAGGTTTGCCGCAATTCCAGTTAGAATTCATTCAAGGCTTTCAGCTTTATGTAGCGTAATTTTCTGTTGACGCTTTACGATTTAAAAACGTACATAAACTCGAATCACAGTCAGCACTTTTTAAAGATTACTCGCCACCTTATTCCTAAAACCTCAGAAAGCTGGAAAAATAGAACTCGGAAAATTAAACGTACGGAAATTTAAGCAAAGAGAAACATGATAGAAAAGTGCCTTATATTATGCAAGAACTGGTTTAGATTTGATAAACTGGACCAGTACGAGAGAGAGGCTGCCGCATATTCTAAAGACTACAACTGGATCAACTAGAAAATATTGCGCGCTTCGAGCGAGCCACTGTCAAAAAAGAATGACGAAAAAAAGGAAAAAGACATGTTAAAGTAAAGCCGCGGCAGATCTCTCATAACAACTTTATAACCTTACTTTGAACAGAAGAAATCAAGATTCTTCACGGACAAATTCTGCTGTGATCGTTGGCTTGAACAGTGACCGCTTTGGCCCCTATGGTCGATATTAAAACTGGACCGAGTTAGATAGGTGGAAATCCAAATAATCATTTCCGTTGCTTGCGGCTATTAACGAAATTAATGCAAAATGGTCATGGTACATGTGAGAGGGAAAAAAAGGACTTTTTCTTACAACTGACTTTAAAACAGATCAAGTATCTATTCTAAAAATTGGTCTTCAGCAAGTTAAAGGAAGTAGTCTGAATACTCGCAGTTCAAACAATTTGAATCTTTTAAAAATGAATATCAAAAGAGAATTTGAAATTTGAAAATTGAAAATATTATTTCAGTTGTCAGAAGAATAGATTTCAATAGCATCAGCGATTTATAAAGTGCCCTTTAGGACAAAGAAGGTTTTAATGTGATAAATTTGCCAAAAGGTTTTTGCCCTAATGTCTTTAATAATACTATAGTTTACCTGGGGTGCTCTCACAAATAATTTAATTGGCAAACTGCCGCTGTTGAACGAGCGAAGATTTTATGACCAAAAATCGTTTCTGTTTTGCTGAGAACTTATTGGTTGATCTCTGAGCTGGATGAGCTAATATAAATGATGAAGAGGCCAATAGGTGCTACGACGCTACTTGATTATTTTTCAGATTTTTCTCTGATTCTTCTCCAGTTTTGTTTCCAGGAAGTGAAGCTAACTATAGTTACTTTCCCTATCACTGGTGTTTTGAAGAGATATCAGGTATAACACTATCTCGTTCTTCAATGTCAAGATCATATGTTCCTGAACACCGTTCAAAAAATAAACATGCCCAGAGGAAGAGATAAAATTTGATTTTTTGCGTCGGAAGGAAATCATATCCCTCCCACGGGTGGCTAAAATTACAAGTACAGTTGTTATTGAAGTTTGTACTTTGGAACTGTCGGATTACTATTAACTAATTATATACATGTTATTCTCCAGCCGGGAGGTCAGTATTAGGAAAAACTGTGCAGAGGTCTTAAAGAAATTCTTTTCGAAAGAACCCGAATGATTTAGGGCTGTAATTACTACAAGATCTTCCATAAACTGAACAATTATTGAACGAGTAAATGATAGTTAAGATAGAGGTAATGCAAATTAAAGAGAGACTTCACCGAAACATTTTCATTTTCATGTAATGATAAAGATGATTGAAAAGGTTTCCAGACAAACTTTGAAACATCATTTTACGAGTATTTGTCATAATTTGACACCGGTAATTTAGAGAGCGCGTAAAAAAAAAAGCGCATGTACACTTTTGAAAGAAGGACTGTCACGACAATGTTTTCTTCAAAAACAGTCAATGATCTTACGGGAAGATTATTCACTCTCATCGACGATTGATTAACGTACGAAGATTTACCTCTGTTCATAAAGAAAATGACAAGGAAATTAATTGTAAGTAAATCAAATTTTTTTATTTTGAAGTTGTGAGAGTTTGCTCGTTTGTTTGCGACAATGGCGTGTGTAAACCTAGTCTTTAATTTCCTCTACAAAAACTAAATTCGAATAAGCACTTCAACGAGACACAAGGAGATTTAATGCGACTTTTTCCCATTGAATTCCTTCAGTTTCTTTTGTGCAATTTACGATACAAATGCCCAAATTGAACGGACTTGGAAAGACTCACCGAAAGCGTATTCGTAGTAGAACTGAAAACTTCGCTCGCCCTCTCACTACGGACAAAAAGTTTGAGAGAATTCAGATATTAAATGAATAAAAGTTCCATCGTTAATTCAATTGTAACCAAATACCTCTCGTTTTAACTTTCTAGGTACTTTTTGTGAATGATTAACATTAATTACAGACGGTTTTTAGGCTGCTTGTCAACCAATCTAGTGACACTTTTGCTTATACAAATTCATTTCGCAACAAACATTTTTCTGACAACCAAAGCGATTTGAGAGAGAGAAAAGAGAGAAATGATAAGTTATTTATCGGCTTGAGGTTGTGACCGACGTCTTTGCTTAAAAATATTGCCCAGCCGGAAAAACGAGATATATTTATGAAAAATGGTAGTGAAGGTAGGGATGTACTCGGCGACTCACGAAAACGTTACCCTGCCCCTGGGCAGAGATAGGAAAATAAGGACCGCGCGAAGAACCAATCAGATAACAGGATTCGTTACCGTGCCCTCTGAGAAAAAATAAAAACAAATATTGGATGAGGTCTTTGTGATATCCAGAATAACCCTTGAAAGAAAAAAAAAGTGGAACTGATAATTTATGTAAAAATATACAAATCGGCAAGTAACACAAAGCACACGAACGTGACTTGATAAGCCTTAGAATTCCTGTACCGCAGTCTTGCATGACATGATTACCCGTGATCTTGGGTGTCCTTGACTTGATTATTGTATAATCTGCAGCTAGATGACGTCCCAGGCGTAGATTTCGACGTACGCTTCGGCCAATCAGAAAAGAGATAGTGAGTTGAATGTAAAGTAATTCAGTAAGAATGGCTTAAAAGTGCCTATGGCACGAAAAACTTTTTGCGTAAATATCAAGCTTATCATATTTACAAACCAATTCCGATAGGAAAAAAATTTCCAAAAATTTAAAACTCGGTTTTTTTCGGGCCCTAAAATGCTCTTATTTTGTCTTAAAAGTGTCCCTTGGACTGGTGACGAATTAGCGGGTGATGACGCAGAAAACTGTGAAAACTCTTAGTTGACACTTACATATCTCTCACTTCTCTTGTAATTTTGTATCAGTCAGCGTTGACATACTTTTGAAATAACGTCCAATAGAAATGTATACCAACCTTCAGCAAGCTCTACCGAGAGTTGTGATACATCGTACTCAAGTAGTAGAGAAGAAATGTAAGTGTACGGTTTCGCCCTACGAAGGAGAACCACGTGCATCAAATGAAGATTTCGACGAAGACTAACAAAGACGGTTTCTCGCCTGCGGTGTTTTGCGTTTCTGGCCGCTAAATCGTACTTTCAATGCTCAAAAAAGTGGTCAAGGAGAACTCGCTAAGCGCTAAGGTCGATTATTTCTAATTTCAATACAGCTGTCAACCAGAACTGAAAACGGTAAAAACGAACGATAAAATCCGAAGTTTCGGAGTCGTCATGACGCCATTACCAAGGTAAAATATACAATATCAAGCATATTACAGCATTTAAAGCGATTTTGGCGCGAAGAATTAACATCACAGGGTGCGAAGATTTTGAAAATACTTTCGCCCGAGTGGAGTCTGATTGCACGTTAAGATTTGGCTTTAAAGCTCTTATAAAAGGTGTTTCTCGCACTCCTAGAGTGTTCTTAAAAATTCTCGCGTGCTTATATAACTCAACAATGCACTCGGCGCGTTTTTTATTCTTTAATGTTAATGTCCGCGTGTGTAACTTACATAACCCGCATCGCACGGATCACATTGAAAACTAAAAACAGCACGCTGCTAATTTACAAGTTATCAACCAAAAATGCCAACAAAAAAAAATCGGTTCACAGGCAGCTCCAGCTATGAGATGATCATCTTGTGTATTAAGAATCATGGCGAAAATACAAAAGTTTGTATGAGAATATTTAGGACCGCTCTTAGAAGTAAAAAAAGAGTGAAGTTCTCAATAAAAATACCTCACCTTACTTCCACGGTGCATCGCTTGTTATCTGACCGCCGCTTACTATGTTGAAAAGTAGCCACTTTAGCGAGTTATTGCTTTCTAGGTTTACTACTCCTAAGAGAAGGAGTAAACCAAGAAATGGATAACTCGCTAAAACGGCCTCGTCGCAGCAAAGGAAGTGGTCACAAAACAAGCAACACATCGTGATAGAAAGGTAAGGTATTGTTATAGAGAATTTGACTGTATTTTTACTTCCTAAGAGCGGTCGTAATAATATTACAAACTCTTGTATTTTGCAGGATGATCATCTCACAGCTGGAACTTGGGCCGCCTTTGCTGGTTCGGTAAAAAAGGACCGATTATTTTAAGTTAGGCCCTTTAAACCATTACTGAGATGATTATAATTATTAAGTATTATTTCCCTCCAGAAATTTTTTTAACTTTTTAGCCCGTTGGCGCTTCTCAAGTAGGTGACGTTAACTGACAAAAACAAAGTGCCAGTCGAGACTAAAGTTAATATGACGGAAAACCATCGCAAAAGTTCAACTTAAAGAAATGCACTTCCGAGGATTGGACAAGAGATTAGCACGATTATTTTCCAAGCGCAGAGCTAGACTAATTAAAACCTTCTCTGGATGATCTTCGACTCTCTACAGAAAAATTCCAATGGACTTTAACATAGCTTTTGTGAAAAAAATAATAGTCGAGTTACTAATTAATGTCGGAGTGATCCGGTTTCTTTTAGTACTGGAGTGAAGAGATTTTTATGTTCAATAGGGCCTTCATAAAAAACGTGGACTTTGCTCGGCTCTTGAACGTGCCACTTTTCATAGGCTGTGGGTGATGTCGGATTCGTGCTTTCCCGATACTGTTTCATCATTTCTGTAGAAAGTTACAAAACCGCGTTAGTTCTTACGCACCCAGTGGCCCGTCACTTTTGAAGCCTCTCTCTAGATTTCCTTATTTTCACAGCATGATAAGAAATGCCTTATCATCTTAATACACTTTACCTTCGACTTCCTCTCTGCTCTTGATTTCCCCGGGTACGTAATACTTCTTTCTGAGATTCTGCAAGAAATTCGTTTAAACACATTTTTATTTCAAGCCAAGATTCGGCAAAGCACATATTTGACCAAAAATATAGGTGAATACTCTTTTCTATGTACCCACCCAGTATTTAAAGCGGCTCTGCCACTCAATAGTCGCCACAGACTGCATTCGTAGCACAGAGAAAGAAAGAAGCGACTCCTCTTGAACCATCTCATACGTCAACGAGAGCTGAGCGATCAGCACGTTCATAAGAATAATGACGACACTCATCATGAAAAATATTGCCAGTAATGCCCCAAGCCAACTGGATCTCAAAAGAGAAGCAATATTAGATATAAAGTGTGTTAATAACGAAAAAGCTGAACACAGGGAAGACGGAAGAGTTTTTTTCTTTCCGTTAGACCTTTTCTTTTCATATATGGAAAAAGATGGAGAACAGTTTAATTGCATCCCAACCACTGGCTCAGCCTTGTTTTGAGTAAGTAAAAAAAATAAGGATGCACCGTCAACACCGATGGCTTTGAATAAATTCAAAAGCAACAGTAACGCAAGAATTACCTGTTTTTTAGTCATTTATTGTCTCAAATAGCATTTATATTGAGTTTGGTTCCGTGTAGAAAAGTTCCAATGGCATTAAAGGATAGAAAAGAGTAAAGATGTTGATGTAGATGTAGATAGCGGATTTCAAAAAGACAGTCGGACTGTAAAACGAATGATTCTAAATAATAAGTATTCTTCCCCCCCTTCCACCCTCCAAAAGAAAATCGGGAAGAGGTGGCTGTACACAGGCTAATAAAATACGGCAACATCTCAACATTTTTACATCTCAAGGATCACAAGGTATCAAGATATCAAGATATTTCACCATGTCGTGGAAGCAAAACTTACAACACTTTCAAACGTAAAGAACACTGAATTAAATGCCTCCAAACTTAAAGTCGCTGAACTCACCCAGCAGTTGGCAAGCTACGTACAACAGAGGAACCTTCCAGCCATGTTTTCAAACCAGCCAACATCACACATCCTACATTTTTACATAGTGCAAATTCGCTGCCCAGTGCACTTAATTTAAAGAGAAAGAAATGTAAATTAAGTCGAGGTTTATTCAGGGGTGTAGCTAAGGGAAGTTCTTGTGTTAGCCGTGAACTGCTCTTTAGGAGATGATTTAATCCGAATTCAATTACGCACAAACCATGTCATTCAGGTGACTAAAACTCGTGATCTGAAGTATCTACGTGACGTCTAGATAACATAAGAAGCCTCGACTGTGCTCTGCTTCCTCTGTTTTGATGAAGAACACACAAAAAGCGGCCACAAAAGTATTGTAGCTAGGGAAACACAAAACGTAGTCTAGTGTTTACATTTCGTCTGCGTAAAAAATAAAAACGAAAATCCTAAGAGGGAAGTCCGGGAATTCGTCGGCAATTGTACAAATAAGTCGATGGCGTGCCACCACTACTCTGTGTCATGACGTCAGGATGTTCATTATATGGCAACTTTGTTACAAAGTAAAACACAGCGAGGAGGTCAAGTCGAATGAGGGTCGGTAAATGTTCTAGGTGTGACAGTGTGACCCCCATTCCCTTTTTCGAAATATCTCCATGTTATGTAATAGGTGGCTCAGAACAAAAGCTGAGAAATAGGGTACAACCCAGGAATACTTAAAAACAATGGATAAGATCAAACACTTAGCGGATGTTCAACGCTTAATCCGAATTCTCATTTATTTACTTATTTGGTTCATCCATCATGAACATATTAAAAAGATAAAAAAAAAATTCAGACTCTACTTGCCTTCCGAGATTGAAGTTGCCAGCCTTAAGTGCAATGTAAAATGAGATTGAAAACGCTAGCAGGATGATGGTGAACACAACGAGAAACCTTGGAATATCTTTGTAGATGACCATGCCAAGGCATTTTATGTAAAGACCGATGTATCTTCAAAGGTAAGAAGAAAATAAATCAATGCACTGGCCTCACAACTGTGCATTGGACACAGAATTATATTAAAAAGAGGTGATAGAGAAAAAGACTTGTGTTTTAGCGAATCCTTTCCCTTAGCTCTCGCCCTACCCCCAACTCCCATGCCCGCAATAAAAGCTATTATGAAAGGAATATTGCGACCGTACCTGTCCCCAACTGAGTACTTGAAGATCCCAACAAAGTTGATCATTATTGCCAAAGAACCAAAGATCCATTGTGCATCACCTCCGGGATATCGGAAAACAAATGTCGCCACAATTAAGAAGTATCCAGACAGATCCAGGTAGTTAAAGTAGTCTTTGACGTAAGCTAGTGGTTCTCTAAAGATATAAGGGTGAGAGGGATGATATTTTTTGATCCATGTACGCCACTGTAGCAGATGGTAAATCATTTTCGAAGGGAGGATAAAAAAAAGTATTATAGCTTCATGCAAATTAAGTCAGATAAAAGCTAACTTACCGTTTTAACTCGGAAATTTCATCAATAATGAACCATAATGTCATCAAGCTCAACAATATCTCCAGACTTTTTCTACCAGGAGCACTTTTGTAATCCAGCGGATCGTCTGACGTTGCAGCACTCATGAAGGACGCAGAAAGAGCCACCAGGAAAACCAAATAATTGAAAAATCTAACCCTGTAATCAACGGACAGCACATTTAAGTGATGAAATATCCACGAAATTCAGTCTGAATCAGGCTTGCAGCTTGCACTTGTGTCTTTAACGAATGTTGTTAATGCCCGAAGTAAACCCAAAACTCAGTTACATGCGAAGAAGCAACATGAATCGTTCATATATAATATTAAAAGAAAACCGTATTACTAATATATCCGCCCGGAAGCTTCCTAATACCCAATCCTTTCAAATGAAGGGCTCGTGAGGAGCCAAAACGCTAATAATGAATGCGCACGCGGTTGCTTCAATTGCTTGAAACACTAACAATACTGGAAACGGAAACCACTACAGGCTTTCAAATAAGTGAAACTTATCCTAAAGCGTTACTTACCCGTCATGTGCGTCAAATCTTCGTAACAAATAGTAACATCTAACGTTCCCATATGGGTCACATATCGCTCACACTACAATGTATGTGAGCACTTCCAAATTCCAAAGGGAGGGGTAAGAGGCAGGATTTTTTCAAGGGAGGGAGCGTAGGGGAAAGTTTTAAGCGTTTACTGCACACAAACAGATAGTTGTTTATTAATTGATGACAAGTGAATATATAACCGGTCTTAATAATAAATCAAAACATGTTTTATTGTCTGAGATACGAGACCTGAACCAAAACGCGGCATACTTTTCCCACTTTCGTTCCGTCAGCAACTTGATTACAACGTGGTTTAAAATTTCCTGTGGGAAAATAGAGTAGTGGTCGTTAATTTGAAATTAGAGGATAGATGAGTTTCTCTCCCAGAGATTTGCCTACTCGCATGAATTTTAGCTGGCCCGGTGAAACCACCTTTTCCTTTCGTCAATCAATCTTCCACAGCCAAGCTCGTTATCTTGTGCCTTTATTGACCGTTTTAAGGTCTAGAAGAAATATTTAACGAACGCTGATTCTATAAAACTATGCGGTAAATTTAAGCACGTTTCTGTTATAAATGTTTCGGTCTGTAGAGCTGAAATTTGAGCAATAGGACGATTAAATCTTATTATATTATTGCATTAGTCGTATACCATGAACAGGCATATGAATAAATATCAAAATTTACCTTGTTTAGATCCTGTTGGAAGTGCTTTGTCAAGTTATAATAAAAAGACTTTGGTGTGTATTCGTAGTCTGGATCATCCGGGAATCTCCCATTGACGTCACTTTCCAGGATATCATAAGTCACGTGAAAGTGAGTAGGCTTGTCGTGTAGATGTTCCCATGACAGACATGGCACAATGTCAGACGGTAAACAGGGTGGGTGTGGCCATCGGGGTGAAATAAGACAGTCTAAAACAGCTAAGACTGTTTTCTTAGGGAATTAAAAAGGAACTACATTAAAGCATGGCTGTCACTAGAGAAGGTTTCTAGGGAGCATATAGGAGGCTCTTTTCTTTGACGTTTTTGCATTAAAGTAAAACTTTTGGCTCATGTAAGGCATCCGAGACAGGCAAACCTCCTTCTTTAATAATCACAAATTAATTACCTGCATCCTAAACTCTTCGGTTAGTTTCACCAAACTTATTGCAGCTTTTCTTTCCTTCTTGGCTTTGAACAAGTTTCTGACTCTGAAAATAGGGAACAAACAAGCCGTACCATGCATTACTTAGGGTTAAAGCTAACGTCGTTAACAAAAAGACATGAAATAAATTGTGTCGTTACATGAGTTACAAATGAATTTTCTCCATCATCGACCATCCTTTTCCTTTATTCTTTTCAAATTCAAAAAATCTTTTTTGAAGTTGACGCCCGTTTTGCACGAAACAACAACAAAAACTCGCTAACCTTCTATGATCCATTCTCCTTATAAGGAATGCTGCCACGTCATCCTGACTGTGTCTTATTGCAGTCTCAACTGGCAGCTCGCTCTGTCCGTTTATGGCCACGAGCATGTAAGGATAGCTGTCAATCAAAAACTTGGCGAGGGAAATGAAATTCTTCGTAGCAGCTATGTGTAATGGTGTATTGTGAAGGAAATCTACCACATCTTTCAAATTCACCCCAGAACTGCAGAGAAGCCTAAGAAATCTGCAAACCTGCATGAAATTGAATAAATGACGAGGTAAAGGAGAATTTTTCATATACTATACCGAAATTGAGACACTTATCTACTGAAAGATGTATTGAACAAACGCAAAGTTCTCTAGAACATAACTGACTAGTTTATGAGGAAATTTAGAGTGGATGGAATGGAGAACTGCTGATTACATCTTGTTTGTTCAAAGATCAATTCACTGGCCGTTTCGTTTTCCTCTGGATAATTGGTTTTGTGCACTAATGTTTATTGGTCAACAAGAAATTTCCTGTTGCCTTTCTTTTAACTTTTCAATGAGGCGTGAATTGAGTTGATGTTATCACTTCTAATCACGGAAGCGACGGAGATGAAAATGGGGAAATTAAGTAGCTCTCAAGAATATGACATAAATTAACAAGGGGATGAAATTTTCTTTTGCTTAAAAGCTGCAGGCTTTTAAATGTAAAGAATTACTGGCTGTTTCTTCGGTTAAAAATTGGGAAATAAAGCTGTGATGAGGTGCAACGGAAGATCAAGACTTTACGTGAGGAAGGCATCTACGTTAATATTCATCTCTTCTCTATGGCAACGGTCTTACGGCACCTGAGGTTCATAATTCCAATCCTGCAGTAGGTAGAGTGCTGTGTTTTCTTTGGTATCACAGAAATCTATAAGTCTCTGAAGGCGAACTAAGTCCATTGCCTGGCTTCTATCGATGCCTTTTTCTCTCATTTCTTTTTTGACCTACGGAAAGTAATCACTTTTTGTTTTGGTAATTTCAGTAAAATCCCATTAAACTTTTTAAAATTTTTCATCGAGATGTAATTAACACTTAAGTTAAGGTTCAGTCTAACTGTTTTCGACTCCTTCTACGTACCGTTAACCTAAGCTTCCAGTCGCCTCACCCTGGAGACGAGGTTATTATGAAGTCTTTGTTCTGACAAAGAGTTTTTTAATAGAGGAAGCATTTCAATAAAAACCTTCAAGATCACTAGGTAAATAAACTTTTAAGGGAACAAAAGAGGTGTTCTAGATTCTGGATATTTTCCGGTACTGTGAAATTGAAAAAATAAATTTGCATGAATAATAAAACCTCTTGTGGAAACAAACTGAGCTTATGAAAAGAGCTAAAAAGCTTTTATATAAAAGGGCACAACAAAGTCATTGTTAGTAAATTGCAAATGTATTTCTAATCCTCAGGCGACTACAGCACTTTTTATTAAAAGCAAATATAATAGATAACGTTCTGATTTCTCTCTTTAGTCGCCGGATAAAGGCTCTGAACCAGTAGCACGGAGCAACGATGTCAATAAAATACATTTTTATATCTATTAAAGCTTGAAAATGAGACCTTACTGAAGATGAAAAGCCCCAAAGTGCACTTGCTCCTTCAATTCACTTAAATTTTGTTTACATGAAGAGCTCATATTACCGTCAATTTAATCTACAAATTTACATCTAAATTAGAGATGGCTTAAGACGATTCGCTCTCCGACATTGTGTTCTTCAATTTTTCAGTAAATGATAATGTAGGCTTTTAGTAGATTTAAACTTGTACTTTTCGGAGAAAAACGAACGTAAAAGGAGCAGCTCAACCCGTCTGGATTCAAAGTTAAGATTTTGAAACTGGTTCCTCTTTCATCAAAAAATTGACTCCTTAGTGGAAGTAAGGGGATTACGTAACCAAAACCATTTTGAGGAAAATTCATTAGTTAATGTGCGAGACACTAAAAAGAATTCCATCCTTCCTTCATAGGTTTATAACATAAGAGAATTTCGGAGAAAGTGCAATGGTTCTTCAACCTACCATTTCGTGAAATTCCTCACTGGATTGCTGGATTGCCTCCACGCGGTCTTGAAGAGTAAAAGAGCTGGCTATCGAACAACTGTCGTCCAGCTGACTAGCACTTTTCTGAAGAATCAAGTCTTCTGCCGAGATTCGATGAATCATTTTGCCACGGCAGGTCGCGATCAGATTTTGAATATTCAAGGGCGTGCAAATTTCCGTTTATTCCGCCACAGAACTTGAGGGAACTGGCGTTATAATGTGATGCACATAAAACTACTGGATTTAAATTAGAGTTTGAATTACCTCATGAACAGCAGGTGCCTGTTATTATTCTTATATTTGACTCATAAATCAGGCCAGAAGTCATGTGACACCTTATTCCTTCATTTGATTCATCAGTTACACTAAGCACTTTATCGTGTTCGTGCCAAACAAAACTGAACACAATAGGTAGCCTCCTCTTGAATAATTCACCGAAGTGGAGGTGAATAATGCTAGCTAATCACTATCGAATTAGCCAATCAGTGTGGACGTAAAGCATCATTCTCTTGCCTGGCTGGTTACTTCAGTCATATGACATTTTTTTTTTAATTTTCCCATCTACGCGGCGTACAAATAACCGATTTATCTCTTATCAACAATTTACCCTGATTTGAGGTGATCACGGGGATGTGATAACTCCCAATGGTCATGCGTTCGATCGTATCTAAATATTCCCATCCGGGGTAATTGTAATGCTGATCGGTAATAGTAATTAATTCTCAAATGTCTCTCACAGATCGACCATTTTATTTTTAAATTTATAAATGATCTTCCTGCCATGGAAAGATTACAAAGTTTGCTAAATTATAACCGTTATCAATTTCTGAGCTCTGATCCAACACATTTCAAAACAAGCGGAGAACCATTTGGTACGTTCCCCAAGACTAAAACTAGAGGCCGTTGCAGAAAAAAATAAAAAAGTGGTTGTTGCAAATTGGGAGGCCTCCAAAAAAATATTGTGTGGGGAGTCAGCAAAGAGTTGAAAAGCAAAAGTTACCAGAACCAAAAATATCACCTGAGTCAACCAAGAAAACGAAAAGTAAGTAAACCCAAGTTATTCATCTAACTATCAGTGAAATGGATGTAGGGATCAAAGGCCAGCTTTTGCAGTATTTAAGACAACTCGAATCAAGCCGAGTTCTACCGAAAAAAATGATTGCAAAAATGATCAAATGGTGTGTAAAATAAAAGAATTCACACAGCTTTGTCAAATCCCTGAGTCGTCTGCTTGTTTACTTCATCCTGTCTTTCCTGAATGACAGACTCTAATTCACATCTATATAACAGATAGAAAACATTGCTTTTACCACTAACACAACAAACGAATACCTATCATTTCTTTGACCGGAAAATAACTTCCGAAAAAAAAATTATGTTCAGCTCGTGCATGACAATTACCGAAGAGTCTGTTTTTTGCTCTTTACCTCAACGATTGAAGATTTGTCTCCATTGCCGTGAATCTTTCCCGGATCTCCTTGAGATGATCGGTTATTGACTTGTTCGATTCTGACCTCTCTCTACACTTTTGCAGCATAGCTATGAATTTGGTGAACAAAAAAGAGGAGAGAAAACTTAAAAAAAAAAACATTCATGAGAAAGAAGTTTAAAGATAAATACATGTAAGGCTATCAAAGTGTCTTAAACAATGGACCAAAGAAAAAAATCAAATTCCAACAGAAAAGGTTTTACCTTCAATCTCCTCCCTCGGCTTAATTTCACCTGCCACATAATACTTCTTCCGGACATTCTAAATATAAAATATTAATTTCATTGAAATCCGTATTGACACAACATTATATTTGGCATTCTTCTCTTGTTTTTTTCGCGTCTTTTTTTGTTTGCTATTTTTTGTCTCCTTTTTGCTACAGTAATTAAGATTTTGTGTTCTTCTTGCTCTTTTGGTTTCCGTCAGTGAAGTTGTAGCCGAAGTAACTTTAGAATTTATAGCTCGGCCACCAACTCTTTGTATTAGGGGTTTTATCGCGGGATATGTCTCATAATGCTCTACGAAATGAACTTGGCCCTTTCGGGAAAAAATGGCGGCGTCACACGTTTTCGAAAGAGGAGGTTAGGTAACTCTTTGTAAATTCAAACCTGGCTAGGTATTGTAACCTGTATTCAATTGCTAACAGCAGAGATAAAAATCGAATGATTTCTAAACTTTGACGTCATTGGTGAAGTAAAGAATATATTTTCTTTTAAAGTATTATTCCCTATACCCGAAAACCAACGTTCAAACAGTGCTAAGGTCTTTCCATTTTTATATTTATTTAAGGACTTTTCCTTTACAAAAAAATAGGTTAACTTACCCAGAATCTAAACCTACTTCCCCACTCGACAATAGCCACGGCCTGCATTCTCATCGCAGTAAACGAATGCTGTGACTCCTCTTGAACAGTCTCATAAGTCAGTGACAGCTGAGCAATCAGAATATTCAGCAAGATGATAGTCACACTCAACATGAAAGCAAGGATCAGAAATCCTCCAAAAATACTGACAAAGAAGTATACAACATTTGCGTTAGGGTCAGTGATTCCAGAAACGGTTGAAAAAAATTAGAGTCCTGATCAATGAACTTTTTACCATAATTTAAAATAGTTATCTGTGCCAAAATTGAAAAACACTATAACTTGTTTTCCAGAGAACTTTGCAAGCCTCATTTTAAAAAAAAGTTACCTTAAATAGCACTAAGAAAATAACATTTCAAAATGATATAGATAAATGCCATCAGTATGCCGGAATCGAGACAAATATTATCTAAATAAATAATTATTGTTTATACGTTATTATTATCTAAATAAATAATAAATGTTTATACGTTATCAGAATGTAGCCAAGCAGAAGTAGATGAGTCCTACCTAATATTACTTAGGAAGGCCATCATCTGAGATCGTTGTTTTAAACGTAGTTACATATCTAAGAAATTAGTGATAGGTGACTTACTTAAAACGCAAGATCACAAAATTTGTAGGTTTCAACTATCCTGAGCCATTAGAGCCTACTTCCCTGAGACCAAGATCACGAGTATAATTTGAGAAATAAATCCCCTGTCAATAAGAATACATTTTTTAATATACAATGTAGCTTTGTAAAAGTGTACTTCCTGTATTAGACTTTTGTATTTGTTTCCACGTATATACTTATCTTATTTAGATACACCTAAGCTTATTTACATCCTTTTTTTTTTAATGTAACATAAGATATGTAATTTTATCTTTTGAACAATAAAGACACACAGACACACACAGACATTATCTCATAACTTTCAAGTTGAGTAGTAAGGCCATTATCTGAATTGTTCCTCTCTGTGAGGCTACGTACACAAATTAGAATGCAGATTTAATATAACTTCTCTTTGATTTCCTCCGCCAACTTTCCCATTTTTAACTTTTTTCTTCCCACCGTCTTTCCTTTCCCTTATGTATCTCTTTCTTTGTCATGAGATGGCCTAGACGCTTCTTTTGACTCGAAGGGGTGATGTCCACTCAGAGTATAGCAGAATGAAACGCAGATGTATTGATTAAAAGACAGTTGCGTTTAGCCGCCAAAGAGAGGGATTAAGAGTTCTAGAAATTCTCTCTTCAAATCCCTCTGTGATATCTTAGAAATTGCACTTGATCCAGGTATTTAGCTTACCCAACATCTTCAAAAGTGTTGACGACGAAAGTCCCTTCCAGCCAAGCAAACAGTCCTGCTAACATCACGCACCATATTTCACCAGTACACGATATGTCACCCCTAATAGTTCTAAAAAACATAAAAATGCAACCTTTTGAAAAAACAAAGGGAGCAAGGATCGAAAGAGGAAACGCAAACTCTAAACAAACAGCATTTACTTCAAACAACCCTTGCGGCCACAGTTTTTGGGTGAGGTCAGTATGATATCATGAAATATCAACGCCAAGATCTAAGGAAGGCTTCGGCAGATAAAACAGACACAAGGTTTGATAAGTCATGATATTATGCAAAAACTGAATTCAGTAAGTGTTCTATGTTACATTTTTTAAATAATCTGCAAAAGAAGACACTTCTCTCTGATCGAGTTTGCAAAAGTTTGAGAAGAGAATACTAAACGAACTATGGGCTTGGAAACAAGGGACTTTTAACTCTACATGATAATCCAATATCCGGGCTGCAGACATTGGGTTATCATGTCAACCTCACACGCTATTGTATACAGCTATTTCAATTTACGTTGTCGGATCAAAGCTTCAAGGGTACGGGACAAGACCGAAAGGCGGTATGGGTAGATTAGAATTAATTTTAGGCTTTCGGGGTTGTCGGCGCGAGATGGACATGGACATCGGAGATCTTCGCTGTATGGACGAGGCATTGTTAATTTTGCTGATAATTATTCATTAAGATCCCATATTCCCCTTCGGTCTTGTCTTGTAGGCTTGAGGCTTTGATCCGACAACGTAAATTGAAATAGCTGTACTATTATACTGTCGACTTACTATCTCTTTTCTGATGAGCCGAAAGCGTACTGTGAGTTTTCGAAATTAGCGCCTGGGACATCATTTAGCTGCTGATTATACGATAATGATGTCGAGGACACTCAAGGATAATCATGTCATGTATAACAGCGGTGCATGAATTCTAACGATAATCATGTTAAGTTCGTACGCTTTGTGTTGTTTGCTGATTTGTATATTTTTACCCGTTTAAAAATAAATTATCAGTTCCACCAACCGTCATGACCTTTTTTTTTTTTGGTTTAGTGTACGATGAAAAAATTATTAGATTCGGTTTTTGCAATAACCAGAATCATCAAGGTCTTGGTATGGTTATCAGCCGAAGCCAAAGGCTTCGGCTGATAACCCTTACCTCGACCTTGACTTTTCTGGATATCACCAAATTTCATCCAATAATTGTTTACTGACTGTGTGCTCTCGAACAATCAGTTTTCAAATTAAATCTAATGTATAATAACATAGATTGTCCACAGCCGGGGCCTACGATAAGAACTTCCTAAACAACCGGCTTTAAAATGTCATAATTAGCTTGAACTTTTTTTGTCCATGGAAGACTCCTATTTAAGTGAAGACGTACCTATTGTTTACCAGTTCACCATTCAATAAGATTGAGTCTTTATGAGCTTGAAGCGCCAAGTAATACGACACAGTGAAAGTGAAGAGGATGATACCAAACACATACAGAAATCTAGGCATGTCTCTGTAGATAACTTTGTAAAGGCATTTGACGTATTCACCTATATATCTAAAAAGAGAGGATAACAGTTAACAATATGATAACAGTTAACGATAACAGTTAACAATATGACAATTCATACGACGCGCGTTAGATATGAGGAGCTGGATTACGCGTCATGTCCAACCCAAGACTCGAGGGCTTAGCATGACCTCCGCCATGTTACATTTACTTACCGATCTCTGCTAGTATGTTTAAAAATACCCAGGCTGTTGATTGAGAACGCAAAGCAAGCAAAGGTCCATTGGTAATTTCTCTTCTGGAGTCTGTACACAAAAGTCAAGAATATAAGAACGCATCCACTAACGTTCAAATAGTTCCATGGATCTTTAACAAAAATGAATGGTTCTCTGAAAAAAGAAAAGGAAAAGAGCAAACTAAGGTTAATGCTTTAACTTTGATGCGTAAGCAGAGCTTCATACATAAGTAGACAAACTAGTTGCAGACCTGCATTTCAGGTAAAATCAACCTCACCTTTTGAGCTCAATTATTTCCTCCAGCATAAAGAAGAATGTGGTGAACAGTATCAAGACGTCAAAAACTGCTCTGAAGGACGAGGAGCCATAATCAAGAGGCTCGTCAAGGCTTACCGAATACACAAGTGAGGCTCCAAGTGCACAAACAAAGAACATGTAATGGTAGGAACGAACCCTGAAAATATGCAAGTTTTATATAAAAGTTCAGGATGGTACAAAAGTTCGGTTGGTTGATGATGATGATTGAAGAAGTTAGCTTCAAGGAAACTGTTTTTCTTTGTTGATGGGTAATCGAAATCTTCATCACTAACATTAGGGCAGTTGGGGTAATATCAAAGTATATGTAAAAAGACTGAAATTTTGAGCATAAGCCTGGCGTTGGAGTTTTATGGATTATGCGGGTGTTTTATAATGCAATCGACCATCAACAATAGTCCTACCCAAAACTAAATTATCACATTAGCCGAACGATAACTGCTTCCAGGATAAAAAGTACTGCAAGGTACGTTCTGTCTTGTTACTGTGAGCGTTCGTTAATCCCCTTTAGTGCGTGGGTGATAATTTTTAAATTACATTTCGCCGCGGAAGGTTTGAAAATAAGTAGACGGTCATGACATTAACTTTAATTTTAGAATTAAAAATAAAAGACAGGTGTTTTATGCTAACCTGCACCAAAATGAGGCGTATTTCCGCCACTTTCTCTCAGTCAACAGCTGTATGACAACATGATTGATGATTCCCTGTATAGAATTTATCGCAGATCATGTGCTATCTCTCTCACTGTCACTTATTGGATTCCTTTAAATCTCGTTTCCTTAGCAGTCAATTATCATTAACTTTGGCGAGAAAGGCAAACAGCCTTTGAATAGCAGATTTCCTGTCCTTACAAAAAGGGCACATATTTGTGTGTGGCTCACTGGCTCAAGTTGCTTGAGAATATTCCAATTTGCGACTCAATAGAACTACACAGTTTTAACATATTGAAAAAATATTCATAAGAAGGTAAATTAAAGCAGTGCATACGCTAATTTGGCCAAAGTCAAAATAAACACATCACTTCCCTTCCTCCCCTTCTCATTCTGTTGAGGCTATTCCTCAACAGGTCATTAAGTTGAAATTCATTCCACGGTTCCATATTTTTCGATAAAGATTACGAAAGACCATAATGCTTCATTAACTTGTTCACTTCTCAATCGCGCGCGTTAGAGCGCTCGTGTATGGTACGCTAAAATTGAGAATTTTTTGCTTCTGTCTTCTTTTTATCTTATGGTAAGTTGCTAGATAATTTCTGTTTCGAGTTTCGCTTCGCAATGTAATCTTCATTATGTTTTGTAGGTTATTACATCTTGCTATAAGGCAGTAATTCAAGATGAAAGGTCCACATTGTTTGTTGTGCCAGAGACTAGTGACGTTCTCCGTTGTTCTTAAACTCGTTGTGTATTTCCGCCGCTATACATGTCCAGCCCTCACGCACTCTATTATTATATGTATAAAGCTATAGGTCAGTTTTGACGTCCAAAAGATTAATTATGATAGAGTTTTTTAAGCTCCCTACCTCTGCTATCTCGTCAAGGTTCTTGTGCCAATGGCTGGCTAAGTTATACAGACAAGACTGATGTGGATGCTCATAACTAGGGTCATCTGGGAATTTTCCATTGTCATCACTTTCCAAAATGTCGTAAGCCACGTAATAATGAGTGGGTGTCTCTGGTAGTTGTTCCCAGGATAAACACGGTAGAATATCGGACGGCAGACTCGGCGGATGTGGCCAACGAGGAGAAATGAGACTATCCAACACGGCCACGATCGTTTTCTTTAAATGCCATTAAAAAAGTATGTAGATATGTGTGTCAAAAATCATGCCCCAAACCACCCCGTGAAAAGGCACTGAACAATTAAACAAGGGACAAATTAGGGGCGACAAAATTACTGGTAAATTAAATACAGTAGTTTTCATCGTGGCACTTAAACAAATCTACCCTACGAACGTCCCACATATTTCAAAGTAAAAGCTGGTAGGGAAGCAATTCTCCATTTACAAACCTGCATCTTAAACTCTTTTGTCATTTTCAAAAAGCTCACTATATCTTTTCCCTGTTGTTTTATGCCACTGAACAAGTCCTTAACCCTGCGAGAAAAAGGCACAAATGTCGAAATGCACATTACCTACCCATTTCTTGGGCAGAACATGATGAGAAATAATAGGTAAAGCTAGGAAATGAATGAAAATTGATTTTTTGTCGTTTCAATCTCTCTGAGCGGTGTCTTCTTTGTACAAAATGCTTGGACCAAGCTATACCCACGAGTTTAAAAGGGTACCGGCGAGCTTTGAGGAACTGCTAAGGATAACATGCTATCCAAGGGGGGATAAGCAGTGCCCTTAGTCACTTCACGCATTAAAGTTGGGGATAATCTCTCGTTATTTGGGCCACTTGGCTACAATACTGACTTTTTCGCCTTTCTCTTCTTTGCATGATGCAACTACTGCCGGGAATCCAAGCTATCTACTTCTGCAATAAAATATCTGCAACGCCAACCAAGCGACCACTACCTACCTTCTATGATCCATTCTCCGAATTAAGAATGCTGCCATGTCATCTTGATAGTTTCTTATGGCTATTTCGATCGGAAGTTCATTTTGAGCGTTAGCAGTCAGGAGCATACTGGGGAATCTGTCCATTAGATAGTCGCCTACCAAGGTATAGTTCTTCTTAGCTGCCATGTGTAAAGGAGTATTTTGGAGGGAGTCTTTCACACTTTCAAAGTCTACGCCAAGGTCACTGAGTAGCCGTAAGAATCTTGAAACCTTGAAAAATTTTTTAATTACATCCCGGACAATTATTTGAATGGTCTTTTACGGGATAGACTTTTTCAAATCACCTTGCATAAGACATAAATTAATTTAATATCACAATAAGCACCGACATCAACAACAACAACAAAAATCTGTAGATCATTTCCGATGTCAATAAATTATAAACGATATCCCTAAATTTGTGCCCATAGGTACAGGGAATAAAATCATTTCGATTGCAATGTTCGATTGCTATCCACAGGCAAAAATTTCAAAATCATACATAGTACATGGCTCGGAGTACGTTAAGAGGAGCAAACAAAAATCAAAGTACAAAACCTCACCTGTGGTTCGTAATTCCATTCCTCAAGCAAATAAAGTGCTGTATCTTCTTTTGAGTCACAGGCATCTATCAGTCTCTTTATTCGAACTAAGTCCATGGCCTTAGATCTCTCGATTCCTTGTTCTCTCATTTCTTGTGAAACCTTTAAATCAACCGCGTTCGGGAGTGATACATTTATTAAAACTATCAACTCCATACTGGAGGTATTTACGAAGGGAAAATGACAGGAAAGGAATGGGAATGTTATTATTTGTGTCATTATTATTTGTTTTATTATTTATATTATTTCAAATGAAATAAAACACGTTTTTCTTCCCTCGTCTGGAGTGAAATCTTCTCAATGTTTGATTTATTAATTAGGCTAGAAAGTTTCACAAATATTTTTTCAAATGTTCTTGTTTATCATGAGGTCCTACAAGGAAAAATGCGCTCACAATCTTTCCTTCCTGAACTTGACTCGAATTACCGCCATATTAGTAGACACCTGTATGCAGATGAGCTCTTAGACAGGTCCTTCAGTTTTTAATTAATTTACTACACTGTTTACAAAACAAGGGAAGGTAAATTTCTTGAGATTGGAAGGTATTGTTAGCAAAGACAAATTAATTTTTCAGTTATGTCCCAGTCATGTCTTGTTTATGTCTTTCCACTCAATTTCACCGCTTTTTGTAAGTTGAAAAAGATTGGTTTGTTTTTTTTTTTAATTTTTTTTTTTTTATAGAACTCAATTTGGTACCTTCTCTAAAGGGTCAAGAGAAACTTAAAAGATGAGCACAGCCAAGAAAACATAAATTATGTACATATATTTATATATCTTTTATATTATCTTCAATTGTTCTCTAAGAGTGTTCCTTTGTCCAAACAAAACTTTACTTCATTAGTGTGCGTGAGGATATAACTTTTTCTGACCGTTTGTACGTCTGTTTTCTGTCTGACCAATGTATTACTTAGCTTTACTATATGTTTCTCATTTTTAAAAGATAACGGCTAAAAAGTCATTACATATCTCCACGTGTAACATTACCAATTTTATTCTCCCTCCAAAAGATAATGAGAATGAAACTGAAATTGCTAGCGCAGCATTAAATATAAATGAAGTTAATAATCCAACTCGAAAATTGCGATCAATATTTTAACCACAAGTAATAGTTTTTTTGTGTGTTTTTTCATGATTCTACCAGTGATGATTTTTTGAGTGCTGCCTTTCATGAGTAAAACTGAAAAAAAAAGCACCTAACAAGATTCGATTCACGCTTTAACTTGATCAAGTGTTCTGTTTAAAGCTTGAGTCTTAGAATAGAGAACAAAACAAAACAAAAGGAAGAAAAACCGGGAGAATCATGTTGATCGCATCGTTGGTAACATTGATAAAAAATGTTCGAAGGTTCAAGCAAGCAAGTAGAAAATTACTTCATGCGTGGAGATATTACAAAACATAGTGATTTTTTACAAAGGCTTCCCTTGCTCATATCGAGCAAAAAGCTTCTTTGATTTGATTTAATAAGAGACCAACGTTCTTTATGGATCAAAGCTATGACTTACCGATTCATAAAATGCTTCATCTAGGTCCTCCATGGCTACTGCCTGCCGATATTGTGAGAAAATTAAGCCATTTACAATTCCTTTCTGTGCGACTTCACAGGTTGGTCTCGGAAGAATTAAATTGTCAGGCGAGATTCTGCGTTCCATTTTGTAGCTGAAGTACACATGCACAAAACCATCAGTTCATAAATCATTTATCTTTCAAGTAACAAAAAGCTCATAAAATATGGCTCACTGTTTTCAGCAGAAATAAGACGATTTCTACAACCTCTTACTCCAGCTGGATAAGCAAAACTTGATTAAGCTGAGGAACAGCGCTTAGAGAATCAAGCGGACTTGATGGTAGTGGTTCACAATCGAACACAGCTCAGGCCAATCAGTCCCTTATAAAAACCAAGAGCTCCGTTGTTAAGTCTTAAACTTCTACGGTCTAAAAATAATTTCCCCGTATGATAATCATGCAACTCCTAGTGGGCTGGTGATGAAAATTCTATGTTAAACAAAAAACTATTCGTCTTACTACATGATTCTTCTAATTTAAATAAACCGTCTAGTTTACTGTTTTGAAAATGTAAAGAGAGTATATGATTTGCTGATTACTGCTGTGTAAGAGTAGGAAACATATCATATCCTTCTCTTGATCTAGAAAAACAAGTCGCTGATTTTATGAATCATAGAATGCATTTTGATCATGGAAAAACATTTTTTAAGTATTTTTATATTAATATATACCACACAGGTGAATAGTGCTTCTCGTGCGCTGATTGTTAGTTTGCAGTGAGGTGAATAGCAAGTACTATTCACCTCCGAGTAGCCGATCAGACAAAATCACGCGTCAAGAGTTCAATTTCCGACCATTTTTTTCTATGTTAAAAGAAATAAACTTATTTCTTGTGTATCTGTGTAGTATATACTGGAGCAATTATTAAGTTCAGTTTCGTTGAAAGTGGTGGATATTTCCCTCGCCGCTTCGCGGCTGGGTAAATATCCATCACTGTTCATCGAAACTGAGGTGAAAAATTGTTAAATCTAATTATTTATAGATATATTTGAATGCAGTGAGCTTTGTATCCTCACGACTAACTGTTTTTATCTTATGCTGAAAAGTATCTGAACATTTGGTATCGAAATGAATTCTCATGAAAGTGAACTCTCTCTCTTTTTTTTTTTTCGATCTATTCAGCTGATAGGCTAAGCATCATAGTGATGAGGAATACAGTGATGTTTCAATCTCACGAAAGCGGACTGAGAACGTTTTCTTGTTCAGCTGATACACTAATTGATAGTGAAAGTAAATACAGTGAATCTTAAATCTTTACGGGAGTCGACGTACTGTCTCTTGACTACTCATTTCTTATACCACAGGTCATAATATGATTTCTATATATTCATTGTCATTAAAACTAATCTTGGCTGATATGAAGTGTTCGATGTCCTTTTGCTGTCACTCGCCTCCAGTGATACCAACAGCATCCAAACGTGGAGATTATCTAGTAAACCCAAATTCAGTGTCAAAAACCAAAAAATTCAAACCTACTCAGATTTGCTGAGCTGCGCATGGCAGACGATGAAATATTCACACCCATTGATACACTCGTTAATGTAAATCTCCCTCGACAACACGTTTTGTTCTTCATATTTGCATACAACGTGAAATTTTTCTGTTTGGGGTCAGGAAAAATACGTCCTTTAGCAAAGAGAGCTACACCGAAGTTTAATGTCGTCGTAATATAGGTTGAAATAAATAAAAATAATAAAAAAAGCAATAACAAAAGTTTGTATTATAGGGAAGTAAGCCGCTTAGCGCAAGCAAGGGAAGAGCCGAAAAAATCAATAACGATAAGGAAAGAAAGGACAGAGGAGAAGCGCTAACCTTGAATGTTTTATTCTAAGTCTTTGTAAGATTTACAGAAATGAGAAAGCAAAAATTATGACCTCGTATTGTATGGAACAGCATTTAGCCGCTGAATTTACAACAATGTACTGTGCTGTATTCGGTGTGAATTTAGATTTGATTGTACTATTCAACAGTGCATTTTTTTCCGAGACTAGCATGGGCTGCAAATAGAAATCGCTTTTTTCCTTTGTTTGCTTGAGCCCTTTATTCAAAGGCAGCAATTTCCAAACAATGACAACAACCTTGGTATTGACAAAGGCATCAGATTGAAGAGCTGATGACTGTCCCTCAACCAATTGTATGGGTCTGGTAAGGTAACGCAATAGAGATCTGCCTTAAAGCAAATAGCTACAAGTTTGCTGAAAATTAAACTCAAACTCGACTGACATTTTGCTGAAATATGACACAAATTTCACTGGAACCGCCGTGGGCCCACGAAAGACATACACCTACATTGATTTAGCTATGGTAATTATTGACAAAAGAGCCAATCTGAAGGATCTCTTCGGTCTCTCCCTTTTCCAAAGTTGAGACATCTATAGCAAGTTTCTCTCGTTCCTTATTCCCTTAACTGCTCTAAGGAAGATTTCAAACTCCCATTAAACAAAATAAAACGACTTAAGTCCTGTGTATGTTTAATTCGAGCATACACGGTTAGCTAAGATTACCCGGAAAAACTGACGCACACTAAAAATTTCTGCACTGCATGGAGGTCAAATTCAAATTAAATTGAATACCCTGTATTTGTTCGTCTTGCTTTGCTGACTTATTATTGCACTGTATTGACTGCAACCCTGGCCATTTGTTAGTACTACAATGTAGCACCTATCTGAGTTCCTGAAACAAACTGAAACCACTTAAATCCCATTTAGAAAGTTTAAGGTGAACAAGCTCTGTAGGGTGTGGTTGCTCGGGAGTACGAAATAACTACTTCATCAGTCATGACTCTTTCATTTTCCATCGACTGAATTTTACTGGAACTTAATAATTCTTGTTTAGGATCAAATTCCAACTTAGTCTCTCCCTCTTCCGAAATTGAGACATCTATGGCGAGCTTCACTCATTCTTTATTGCCCTTAACCGCTGTAAGGAAGATTTCAAACTCCCTTAAACAAAATAAAACGACTTAAGTGCTTTGTATGCACGTTGTATTCGAGCATACACGGTCAACTGAGATTACCCGGGAACACTGACACCCCTAGGTGGTATGCTGTCACAAAAGGCAATATTTTGCCTTTAGTTTTTGGATCATGTGTACTATAGGTGGCCTCGGTCGACATATAGGCCGACAATCGACCGATATATCGGTCGACTATCGGTCGACTATCGGTCGGCAATCGACCGACTATCGGTCGACAGTCGACCGATAGTCGACCGATATATAGACCGATAGTCGACCGATATATAGACCGATAGTCGACCAATGCATCACCTGATATGTACACATTTATCAGTCGACTGTCGGCCAGTATATCAGTCCACCGATTGTCGACCGATAGTCGACCGATAGTCGACCGATAGTCGACCGATTGTCGACCGATAGTCGACCGATAGTCGACCGATATATCAACCGACTGTCGGCCGATACATCAGCCCATATGTGCACATTTATCGGTCGACTGTCGGGCGATATATCCGTCCACTGTCGGCCGATCTATCGGTCGACTATCGACCGATAGTCGGTCGACTATCGACTGATAGTCGGTCGACTGTCGACCGATAGTCGACCTATAGTCGGTCGATAGTCGACCGATATATCGGCTGATGTATCGGCCGATATGTTGACCGAGGCCAATTATAGTACACATGATCCTAGTTTTTTTGGTTTGTTTTTTAAGTGTCGACTGCCTTGCGGCAAACGAGACCTCAGATAACGTTTTTTCAATTAGGCTTTTTGGGTAACCACGTGCTTCAAGTCGTGTTTTGAAGTTACACATGGCCTCCTGGAAATTTCTTTCCGAGGAGTTTGTTCTTAGAAGTCTGATAGCTTCTCCTTTAATAAAGCCTTTTTTAACACCTGGCGGGTGGTAAGATGAATAGTGTGTATATTGAAAGGTCTCGGTCGGTTTGTAGTGAGTTTTGACGTCGAGGATAGCTTCGTTTTGGAATCTTTCACCTTTGTAGACAACCGTGTCTAAGAATGTGATTTCAGTCTCTGAGATTTCAGCTGTGAACTTTATAGTTGGATGGAACGTGTTAGCTTGTTCTATGAATAGATCAATGTCTTGTTTACGAACATCCCACAGGGAGAAAACGTCGTCAATGTAACGCTTCCATACTCTCGGCTTGATACTGCTTTGGTGAAGCAGTTTTATTTCAATTTCTGCCATAAAGAGATTGGCGAAAGCAACCGCCATTCGTGTTCCCATGGCAGTTCCAAAACATTGGAGATAGTTTACTCCGTTGAACTGGAACGAATTTTCTTTCAGTATAAGCCCGAGCATTTGTTTTAAGTAGTGGGACGGAATGGGAGGGCTGTTATTGTGGTATTTTTCGTATGCTTGGCATACTATTGTGATACCCTCTTCCTGTGGGATGTTTGTGTACAAGCTTGTTACATCCATTGATACTAAAATAGTATCATTTGACACTTGCGTTTTTTCTATAAAGTTGATGAAATCAGTCGTATCTTTGAGATACGATTTTTGCTTTTGAGCAATAGGCTGTAATAAATGATTTTTCAGTTGGTCCTTCGCAGCCCGATATAATCGGTCTACCCACTGGCAAAGGTTTGTGGATTTTTGTTAAAGTGTAGAAAATCGGTATTCTGGGCGGATTGGGAGTCTGTGAAAGCCACTTTTTTGTCATATCGTCTATATGTTTGCCATTGTGCAGTTGAGCAATAAGCTCATTAACTTTTTTTAATGTGTCAGTGACCATGGGGTTTTCAAGAGGTCGGTAGTGGTCTCTGTTGTCGAGCTGAACCTGGGCCTCTTGAATTTTGTCCCTCTTGTTGAGAATCACTGTTGTGATGCCTTTGTCAGCACGTTTAAGGTTGATGGCAGTATTGTTTTGCAGTTCTTTGACTGCTTTGTGTTCGTTGTATGACAGGTTGTGTTTTGGCTTTGTTATTTCTATTTCAGCAAGGCTTGACTTGATATTTTCGAAGTAGCGTTCAAGGGCAATAGAAGGTTGTACTGGTGATATCCAGTTTGATTTGACGTGGAAAGGATGTGGTTCCTTGTCATTCCCGTGGAATATATATCTAAGTCTCATTCGCCTAGCGAATTGTTCCAAGTCACGCAACAAT